GCATAGGGATCTGTGGGGGAAGGGTCTAGAGCCCAAGTGTGGGGAGGAGCAGCTGAGGGAGCTGGGGGTGCTGAGCCTGGAGCAAAGGAGGCTCAGGGGAGACCTTCTGGCTCTGCACAGCTCCTGACAGGAGCCTGGAGCCAGGGGGGGGTCGGGCTCTGCTCCCAAAGAACAAGGGACAGGACAAGAGGAAAGGGCCTCAAGTTGCCCCAGGGGAGGTTGAGGTTGAGCACTGGGATCAAATTCTTGCCCTGGAGGGTTGCCCAGGGCTGTGCCAGGCTGCCCAGGGCAGTGGTGGAGTCCCCACCCCTGGAGGGGTTTCCAAGCTGTGGAGATGTGGGGTGAGGGACACGGGGCAGTGGGGACCTGGCAGTGCTGGGGAACAGTTGGACTCAATAATTGTAAAAGTCTTTTCCAACCAAAATGATCCTTTGATCGTATGATCCCTTGATCCCAGGGACTCAGCCAGTGGGATAGGGACACATCTCCAACCCCAGCACCTGCCCAGGACACCCTGGGTGTCTGCAGAGGCTGCTGCAGCCCCACCTCTGCCAGAGCTGAGCTGGGGGAGCTCTGGGGGCTCAGAGCTGGGCTGGCCAGGGCACCTCTGGCACCTCCAACACCCGGCTCTGCAGGTCAATATTTCCCTAATGGAAGATGATAAAAGGGAGGAACATAAATTGCTTTTGGAAGCTGGCTACTGCAATGATAGCAGATAAATATGATGAAGCACTTGGCAGGCTCCAGGCTCCTTCTGGTGTGTCGGAGATGCCTGCAGTGGTACTGTACCCATCTGCTTCACTGGAGCTGCTGCCTTTGGGTCTGCTAAACCCAAAAAGGCACCAGATACCCTGCTGCCAGCTCCCAGCCCGTGCTCTGCCACCCAACCACAGCAGCAGGAGGAGGTGGTGGACCTTCATGTTTGAGCTGATGACCAGCAAGGGCCAGTCTGCCCGTGTGCCCAAGGGGCGAGTGCCTCCGTGGGGCCGGGTGGTGTTTTCTGTAGGTGGAAGTTGCTGTAGTTGTGACAAACAGCAGCTTTCACAGAGAACAGCTTTCCTGTAAGTAAAAGCTGGATGTTTCTGAGAAGTCCTCTGAGTAATGTGGTGCAGCTCTTGGCTGCGCTACGGCTGGAAAAGAAAAACCCTTCATCAAAAAGTTCCTGCTGCGGCCATGGCCCGAGAATGCCAAAACCAGCCCCAGTTTGGGGAAGGGGGGGTGGGGAGAAGGGATTTGCTGAGACACCAGGGCCAGGAGCCAGGCATGACCTCTGCCCTGGGACAGGGAACGAGGTCCCCAACCACCCGTGGGGACGTCACCCCCCTCCAAGGCCCACGTGGCTCAATGGCTCCGGCACGAGCCACGCAGCAACAGGAGCTGGGCACCACTGAGCAGAGTCTGGCCCCAGCCTCTTGCCCCCCCAGGGGCCCTTTAGCTCTTGCTCAGCACTGCTCAGATCCCCTCTGAGGCTTCTCCTCTCCAGCTCAGCAGCCCCAGGGCTCTCAGCCTGGCCTGGCACAGAGATGCTGAATACTGGACCTAGGGAGCCCAGCCCTGGACCAAAACCTCCTGAGGTGACCTCGTTGGGGCAGAGGAGAGGGAGAGGAGAACCTCCCTGGACCTGCTGGCCACTCTTCTTCCTGCACCCCAGGAGACCATTGGCCTCCTTGGCCACAAGGGCACACTGCTGGCTCATGGTCAATCTGTTGCCCACCAGGACTTCCAGGTCCTTCTCCACAGAGCTGCTTTCCAGCAGGCCAACCCCTCACCTGTCCTGGTGCAGGGGGTTATTCCTCCATGGGTGGTTTGTGATGGAGACACCCACACATTCCCTTCCCCAAACACCTTCCCAGGCCGTGGAGGGAGTTTCATGGCCACATGCACCTCTGCTGCAAGGCAGGGAATTGGTAGGGGAGGAGCAGAACCTCCTCTCCATGGGGGTGGTGGAAAAGTCAGGAAAGAGCCAGCTGGGGGTCACTCCTGTGTGCAGCTTCAAGTGACATCCCAGTCCCATGTGTCTCAGCAGGAGTTGCCCAGATGGCCTTTGATTTCAGCACTAACTCTTGCAGCCAAGCCCAGGAAGGAGCAAAGAGCTGAGCCAGGGCAGAGGGGCAAGGTGGACACAGCCACACAGCCACCAGGGCAGGGGCAGCACCCGTGGCCAACCCAAAGTGACCTCAGGGATTCAGGATTCAGCTTTTGCCAGCAGAATCCACCTCCTGCTGCCAGCAGGGTAGAGGTTTGATGGGGAGCAGGGACCTGCTGCTTCTGCTCATGCCTAGGCCAAAATGCCCAGGGCAGTGGTGGAGTCCCCACCCCTGGAGGGGTTTCCAAGCCGTGGAGATGTGGGGTGAGGGACACGGGGCAGTGGGGACCTGGCAGTGCTGGGGGGTGGTTGGACTTGATGATCTTATAGGCCTCTTCCAACCAGAACAATTCTGATTCTATGAAAAAATACACCCCAGAAAGTCTAATTTTCATTTAGTTTGGGAAAACTGAACGTTTTTACCCAGAAAATCTGTTTGGTCAGTCTTGTGACAACTACCTGGTGTGGCTGTGCCTCATCTGTGGTTCCTCAGCTGGGATCCTGCAGGGAAGAAGGCAAGAGGGCTGAGCTCTGCCCAGAGCTGACACCTTGCAGGGTGCTCCAGGCAGCCACCCACCACCTACTCCAAGCAAGCAGCTCCCTGAGGTGCCTGAATACTGCAGGAGAAGTTGTTACATGTTAGAATTTATATCTGGTTGGTTTTTTTTTTTTTTTTTCCTTGACAAAAGTAGAAAGGTCAATGACATCACTCAGGAAAATTTAAACCAATTCTGGGTTACTTCATCCCAATTTTCAAAGGAAGCAGAATATGGAAATGTCAAAACAAGCAACACATCATGGGAATTCAAAGCTTATTTTAATTAGAATTATTCCTACTCCAACTATCAATCAAATCATTACCACATTTAACATTATATGATTTTTTGTTTTCATTGAAAGAATCCTCTCTGCAAAGTGCCTGTTGTTTACCAGGCATTAGATTTCACTTCATTTTCAATACTCCATAAAATAGCAGCAGGACAAGAAACACTTAACCACATGGTTGACCTAATTAAAAGAAAAATCTATGATAAATCAGCAGTTTTAAAGTCAGACTGTCAGATTAGAAGTGATGAGAATTAACTGTTTCCCCTGATGAGCAGTAACAGCAACCAGCCCTTTTGACCTAAGGCAGAGGCAGCAGCATGGCTTTCCCAGCTGAAGGGAGCAGGATCCTGCTCCAGAGAGGGCATCAGGGCTGCTCTCACTCACAGCTTACTCACTCTGGCACTCCTGCAGCCCAGGGTGGAGCTGTGCCCAGGAGAGCCTGGGCTGAGGGCCACGGAGCAGGCTGCAGGGCAGCAGCACAGAGTGGAGCCTCCCAGGGCTGGGTCCAACAGAGGGAAGTTCTCAGAGCACGCAGGCCTCAGCCATCCCCACGTTCCAGGCTGCAGTTTGAAGCCTCAAGCCTTGTGGGCTGTGAACTGCAGGGAGAAGGAAACACGAGAGAGGGTTCAGCTACACACCAAGAGCAGCCACCCACCTTCTCTGGCCTCTTTTCACAGAGAAGGCAGATTTTAGCTTTAGGTTATCTCCATGCTTTGTGCTGCCATATAGATACACCCAGTTATTGTTGCTAATATTCCCTACCAACAAACAAACACACAAACAAGAGAGAGAAAAATGGAGGGACAAAATCCCTCCTCTCTGTAAGGTGCATGGCTTTGTAGGTAACAACCCCCCTTACTGCAGCTTCCAGGGCCTGGTCTAGGTCTTCCAGTAAATCTTCTTCATCTTCCAAACCCACTGACAGGCGAATCAGTGTGTCACTGATTCCAAGAATTTCTCTGTCTTCTTTAGGCACTGAAGAGTGAGTCATGACAGCCCTAGAGGAAAAGAAAAATAGCCTTTTTTTCCTAAGAAATCTTTACTTTTATCAGTAAAGATCAAGCTAATTGGTTTCCTGCCAGCATGCCCTGAAATTCCATGAAGGGTAACAACGTTTTGTGTACCACCTGCTGGTCAACCTGCAGGTGGAAGGAGATGGTGTCACCAGTTACTGTCCACAACACCAACTGCAGACAGGTCAGTGCCTTGCCTCTCCCAGTCTTTCAGTACTGCTGAGCTGCAAAGGATGAAGAGGTGCCACCTACAAAGGGGAAAACCCTCAGCCTCTCCATCCAGCTGTTTTTGAATTTCTTCTAAGGAAGAGTATCTAAAAGCTCTGCTTTAGGCAGAGCAACAGCGACAGCCTGCTGTTCCCAGGACAAAAATCTCCTGCTATTTTTAGTTAAACCTTTGAAACTTTTGGTTTCTCAGATCACTTGTCAAGCTGCACCTACTTACAGCAAACAGTTTATTCTCCCTGGCTATGGAGGACACAGGCAAGAAGCTCCTTTCCCACATGTTCTGTCACTGCCACCCACCAATTCAGAGTCACAACCCCATGAGGGTTTTCAGATTTCCAGCTCTTCTAAAACGAGGGACCCAAATGATTTAGTGTGAAAGTTTAGTCACAACTTCCCACGTTACCTTTTTGAAAAGCAAATGAGATGGAAGTCAAACAATCCTATTTTTAGCCTTTTAAGCTAGAGAGGGGCAACTTAAGCAGGCCTAAAATCCCCAGCAAGTCTCCCTGACGAGCAGATGGGTGGGGTGGAGCAGGAAGAATGGCAGAGCTCCTGCCTCGGTGGGGTGACCACACTGCCTCAACACCCCCTCCTCAAGCACAGGCTGATTTCTGGGGTCTGTCATCACAGCTACAAACTGCAGCCCAGTCTCCCAGTTCAAGCAGGGAGGTGTGGAAGTGCTCCCAGCACCCCACTCCCTTATTCACTCCTTTCTGGGGCGGCTGCTGCACGACGGGACGTCCCCAAATCTCAGCGACAGGCAGAACAGCTCAGCTTTCTGTATCAGAAACATTCTACACCTCCCATAAAAAACCAGATCAGAGACTTGGTTGTTACTCTGCAGCTTTTTTAGACTCCTGGGATGAAGGATGACTTACGGAAGCTCTGCTAGGCTTTCATATCCACCCAGGCTCTCGGCCAGAGCAAAAACCTACGGGGAGAATAAACAGAAGTTAACCTAAGAAGCCAGGTTATGAATGCTTAGAATGAACAGAAGTCAGGTTATGGATTGTCTCTCTACAGCTCCCTGACAGGAGGCTGGAGTGAGGTGGGGGTTGGTCTCTTCTCCCAAGGAACCAGCAATAGGATGAGAGGAAAGGGGCTGAAGTTGCCCCAGGGGAGGTTTCGATTGGATTTGAGGCAGAATTGCTCTCCTGGCAGAGTGGTGAGGCCTTGGCCCAGGCTGCCCAGGGAGGTGCTGGAGACCCCAGCGCTGGAGGGGATCAAAAAATGTGTGGATGTGGCACTTGGGGACATGGTTTAGTGGTCATGGGGGTGTTGGGTTGATGGTTGGACTTGATGACCTTAGAGGTCTTTTCCAACTTTAATGATTCTATGAATGTTTAGAAAGAGACAGTTCAGGGAAAAAAAAAAAAGTTTAGGTTTCTTTTTCTATGGATTTTATTTTTTTTCCTATGTTTTTTAGAAATTTGTTCTAAAATAACTTTTATATTGTGAAAGGTATTAGCTGTCCTTAGGGAACAGAGTGCACGTTTAGCAGGCAAGAGCTATTAACACTCACCAGACTTGTTTGAAGAGACACTGACACAGAACTGGAATTAAAACATGCCCATGCTGAGCAAACACAACTCAGAGTGGTGCCTACAACACAGGGCATGGGCCAAGGGGAGGAAGAGGAGGGAAGAAAGCACCCAATCCATGAGTTCTGCCTGGGCAGGCCCAAGCTTTCATTTGGAGAGTTCAGTATTTAGAAAACCAGCCTAAATTTCTCAGTGCCTAGCAGGACTGGTGTCAGTGAAATGGCTGCTGTCAGTTAAAGGCATTTTTAGCACTGATCTTTGAATTATCTGTTGAATTATTAGCCACCCAGATGTATTCCTGGGTGACTAAGTGGCTTTGGAGGGCCAGCTGCACAGAATCCAACACGGATTCACAGTGTGCCTTGTGAACACATCCACTGCCCTCAACATTTCCCTGCAGCCCTGGCTGCTCCTCTCGACTCCTCCTCCTCTTAAAAACAAATACAGCTAAACCTGTCAGCCAAAGAATCCTCTTCTCACCCTGGTTTAAGGACCTGACTCGACTTTGGTACCAAAACAATGGTTAGCCAGGTCAAAGGGCTGAAGTGAATGTACTCCTAAGGGACTACTCTTCCCCAAAAATACTCTCTGGTGCTTTCTGTCAAAGCTGTTAGACCTCCTGTGCCAGGATTAAATGCTTTCTCTCATGTAAAGGGGTATTTTGTGGGAAAACCATATTTTTAGTGAATTCATTTTCAGTTGATGACATTAGCTGGCACATAAGAACGACAGGGAGGAGAAGGAAGTTATAATTTACCTTTGTCAAATATTAACTCTTTGTTTTTCCAAGAAGAAAAAAGCAAAAAGAGCAGCATACAAATTAAACAGAGATCAAGACTGGCAAACACATTAAAGAGGACAGGTGGAATGAACACACTGTGAGGTCAAAAGCCTGTGGTTTAGGTAAAATAAACAAATAACCACTCTCTGAACTGAGGGACTCCCTCCTTCCTTCCTGATTGATGTCATCTCATAAGGGGTTCCCTCCTGATGGGTACCTGAAATCCTGGAGCAGTATTACACCAGCCAGGGCTCTGCTGGTGAGTCCTGGAGGTGTGTTTGCACCAGGCCCTGCAGGAGGAGCAGTGCTGGGCTCACTGCACTCCACTGCATAAACAAGCTTCAAATGAGCTGAGGCATCCTCTTCTTCCCTCTCATTAGCCTCCCATTTACAAATAATCTCTAATTTAGAGATGGGTACACCCAAAAGACTGCAGGTGCTCTGCAAGTACATGGAAAGACTCTCCCCACCCCATGAAAAAACACTTCCTGCCATTATCACCCTCAGAAAGACAGGCCCAAGTCACAGAATCTTGGAATGGTTTGGGTGGGAAGGGACCTTTCAAGGTCATCTGGTCCAACCCCCTGCAGGGACAGGGACATCTGCAGCTAGAGCAGGGTGCTCAGAGCTTCATCCAACCTCCCCTGGGATGGTGCCAGGGATGGGGCAGTGACCACCTCTCTGGGCAGCCTGGGCCAGGGGCTCACCACCCTCAGCTCCAAAAATTTCCTTCTATCCAGCCTAAATTTCCCTGTTTTCATATCAAACCATCACCCCTTGTCCTATCCTAACAAGCCCTTATAAAAGTCCCCCCCATCTTTCTGCCAGGCCCCCAGCAGTCCTGGCAGCCCCCAGGGGGTCTCCCCAGCTGGAGCCTTCTCCTCTGGGGCTGCCCCAGCCCAACTCTCTCCTGCTGGGCTCCCAGCAGAGGGGTTCCCCCCTCGGGGCATTGCTGGGGCTCCTCTGGCCCCGCTCCAGCAGGTCCCTGGCTCTGCTGTGCTGAGGACTCCAGAGCTGCCCCAGCACTGCAGGGGATGCTCCCCAGAGTGGGGCAGTCCCTCCAACATAGTAAATTATTTACTATCATTTACCTTTAAATTCTTGAGAAAGGCAGCAGCATGTTTGAGGCTCCCTTTGATGTAAAAGGTGACCATGCCAGGACAACCAGTACACTGCCTCTTGACCAGCTCATGCTGGGGGTGGGAAGGCAAGCCTGAAACGGGCAGAAGCTGCATTAATTTAATCACCACCACTTCAAAGGGAAAAACAGCTCAGCTATGCACTCCCAGCCAGGGTGGACGCCTCACCCAGAGCCACCGAGCGCGAAGGGTGCACGGAGAACACGTAGGGTTGCAGGACTCCCAGCCAGAGCTCTAGGATGTCACCTGCCCTGCAGTGCTGCCACCCTACCTGGGAAGATGACCTTCTCCACTCTGGAATGTGCCTCCAGGAACCTAGCAACAGCCAGAGCATTGTGGAAGTGTTGCTTCATCCGGATCTGTAACGTCTTCAGACCCCGGTTGCACAGGTAACAGTCGAAGGGAGAGGGAACAGCCCCGAGAGCTACAGAAATGGAAACAAAATCCCCCTCAAAACCAAAATGTTGGGTGTTTTTAGTACAACTAAATAAAAGCCCTCGTTTCCAAACTGTCTGAAGTCAGAAGGAGATGAGTGGAAGGACACTTCATGGAACCCATCATCTCACACACATGGAAGCCCGTTAATGAGTTGAATGAACAAGAAGACTGAAGGATTAAATTTATTACACATAAAATACCTTTACTCTTCCTGTTGTACACAGAGGGCAGACACAAAGCTGTCCAGAAATCGATTCATTATAATTAAGAGGCACTAAAAATTGTCAGAATCAACCTGGGTAAGAAAGTTCTGCAGCCACACTGCTCAGTTTTCTAGAAGTAGGTGGGAAGCAGAGACCAGGGGTGATAACTCAAGAGGGAGAAGCCACCAGAAGCTGTCACGTTGGCCTAAGGGCACCCCACGTCCCACTGGAGGGCAGGGGAGAGAATCCAGGTTCTCACACCCAAGTCACAGCTTGCTCTCCACATTTCAATGCCCAAGTTGCAGCTCTAGATGGATTTTCTACTTGGGCACATGCAACGTGCTTCCCAGGAGGAGCTGAGTATTTGCCTAGGATTCATTTCAAGCTATTTCCTATGTTGACTACTTACAGTTTTGTAAGAATTTGAGCCTTTCGTAGAGGTCATCACAGTTCACTGAAACCAGCCCCATCACAACATCACTATGCCCTAAAAACACAAGGGGAAGACAAGATCAGGCTCAGCCAACTCCAGGGTTCTGCCACAAACCCCCACGTCCTCAGGCCTGGTGCTAACACAGTCCCCTTTTTGCTAGCCACGAGGCTCCCTCATCACCCCAGCCACCCTGCCTGTGCAGCATGGGCATCACCAGGCAGGTCTCAGCTCAGCAGTGTGCTCTGCTCTGTGCTGCACATGTCCCCAGACACCTCCCCAGCCCACCACCACCAGCAGCAGGATGTTGTACAGGGATCAGAATGCCCCACGGAGCAGGGCCAGGTGCTGCCTTAGCAAGAGGGGGCCAGAAACCCCCCCCTGCTGCCAGCCCCACCAGGGACATGTGGCTATGGCACAGCTACGTGTGGCTACATCACATCAGCTCCAGGTCTGAGCTGCTGGGGACAGAACATGGTGAACATGTTGAATAAGCTCACCATGAGCCAGCAGTGTGCCCTCATGGCCAAGGAGGCCAGTGGTCTCCTGGGGGGCATGAGGAAGAGTGTGGCCAGCAGTGAGGTGGGAGGGTGGCCGAGCCTGGAGCAGCTGCCCAGAGAGGCTGTGGAGTCTCCTGCTCTGGAGAGATCCCAAACCCCCCTGGGCACCATCCTGGGCACCCTGCTGTGGGTGAGCTGCTGGAGCAGGGGGTTGGGTGAGATGATCCCCAGAGGTCCCTTCCAGCCCCACCCTGCTGGGATTCTGCAAATTTGCCTTTGGACAGGCTCCAAAACAGCCATGTGAAACCTCCTTGAACCTTAATGTAACTTCTGGCAACCTTCTACTGAAGTCACTTGTTTTGTTGCAGTGAAATCAAAGCCAAGATGTCTCCAAACACCTCTAGATTTACTACCTGGAACCAGGTCAATACTCCTTCTCCCAGGGATAGTTTAGGAGCCATGAAGACTAGTGGTCTATTCAATGATCCATCTCCTCTAACAGTCCATCTAAGAGTTCCTGGCCTGTGTGAGCTGCCCATAGCCAGAATGGCTTCTGAAGAGGCAGCAGGAGCTGTGCTGGAGGCTGGTACTTACCATTCATGTACTTGGTTGCAGAATACATACAGATATCAGCCCCCAGGGACAAAGGACGCTGAAATGAAATGAAGAGAACAGGTCTCATTAAAGCTTGGGTGCACTCTGGTTCCTTTCAAGCTATCCAGAAATTCTGTGATCCAACATGGATAAGAACAATAGGTGGAGAACCTAAAACCCCACAAACCTGAACACCTTAAACACAGTAACCTGAGAATGAAGACAGAGTTGTGACCAACTCAAGACTGGGGATTCTAGGTAAGCACAAGAAAATGAACCCACAATAAAATGTGATTTAAAAGCAGAAGTCTAATTCCCATGGCTTCAGGACAGGAGTGACTGGACACACAACCCGTTGGTGTTAACCACAGCAGTAAACAGAAGCCTCAACAACATGTGCAGGGTTTTGTTTGCTGGGGCTCTGGCTCTTCCCCACCTCCCCCTGCCCTCCCAGAAGCTTCTGAAGGACAGGCAAGAAGCAATGAACCAGGTATTTTGTTTTAATTGGTCACTAAGTGAAGGACTTTGCACATAATCTGAACATTAGGAAGAGGGAAGAGTTACCAGCAGGTTAAAAGGTAATGCAGCAGGCAGATGTAGAAAGTCTGGCTACTGCTGCCAGCTCAGACATGCCCAGCTAGTCAGGAATGTGGCTAGTGGGCATTGCCAGCACAGCACCCTGAGCCCCCCTCAACCCTGGGGTCTTTTCCACCCCATATCACTCTGCAAATCACCCTAAAAGGATGATTTTCTGAGCACAGTGTGTCAGCAGAGTCTGGAGGGGGTTGAAGACATGACCTACTATGCTTACTAGAATTAACCATCACAACAGGCCAATAAAAATTAACCAGCTGACACATCCAGATGCTCACTTTTCTTCTTCCTCAGGTCTTTGCAAAGTAATAGACACTGCAGGGGGATCACCAAGCCTCTGCTATGCACACTAAGGTCTCTTCCAACCTAAAGGATTCTATGATTCTACACGACAAACCCAAGGGCTGCTTTAGCTAAGCAGTAACACTTGCTGTAAAGCTCTCTTAATTGACAAAGATCTCAGTGCCCTGAACAAACCCAAAGACATCTTGCCTCTGGCACTCACAGGAACATTTTACTCCAGACACAAACCACAAGGGATTAGCTTGGTCCCCCAGGAAATACACACAGACATTTCTAGCCACTGTTAAGATGAACAGAAGTCCAAAGTTTATGATCCCAAAGCATTTTTAGAACTCCAGAAATTGTCTTCATTTCATGTAGTCTGACTATAAAAGTTATGCCAGTTGTTAGAGGTCAGAATTAGAGATTTCTAAGCCACATGTTCACCAAAATACTGAAGTAAAAGGTAACTTGAATGCCTCAAAGAAAGATTTAACAAAGTTTGCTTATTTTAGCTTCTTCTCCCCTTAACTTTTTTACAATATCAAGTGGTTTGGAACAGATCTTAAACAGCACATACAAAAGAATCAGTATAAAAAGGCTGAAGTTAGAGAGGGCTTTTTAACAGGCCTGCTATGATTTGCATCAACGAGCACTAAACCCCTCAATTTCTGAGTGTCAGAGGAGCTCTTCTCCCAGTGGCTGCCCTGACTGTTTCAATTCACTGTGTTTATGCTGCTGAGCTATACTGGGTTTGCTGGTATCCTACTGGTCTGGGGCTAGCTAGAAAATGCTTCACACACCATCTATACTCACGTAAACAGCATCAGGACATGGGTTGTATTTAGCAACAGAACAGGGTTGGCAGAGACCTTCAAGATCATCCAGTCCAGCCATGACCCCAGCACTGCCAGGCCACCAGTAAATCTCACAAAGATCAAAGCTTGATCAAACTTCCTTGGTGGTGCTTCCATTTTAAAAATCTGTGAATACACTGAACCAATGGGGTAGCTGTGAAAAAACCAAGGGCTCACCTGGAAATATGCAGACATAAAAGTGTTGTCTACTGCTAGAAGGACATCTTTATGCTTGTGGACAACATCTGCACAGGCCTGAATGTCAATGACCTTCAGCGTGGGGTTCGTGGGCGTTTCGATCCAAACGAGCTGCAGTAATTAACAACACAAACCATCAGTTGGGTGATTTACAGTGCAGGGGATGACCTCTGTCAGTTTTAAGGTGCTTCTCAGTGTTAACTGGCTCAGTGGCAGCTTCCCACGTAGGTTTGCAGAGTGGAAATACCACCATGTCCCTGCTGAAGGAAGGTCGAGGGCTCTTGGGAGAGGCAGCGTTGTTCACAAAAACAACTGATATGGGGGAAGAACGTCAGAGCTTCTGAAAACCAAAGTGCACCACATCTGAAGAAGGCCTGACCTAGCCAGAAGTCTTTATGCACAAAAATCTGTAAGCTTTTGTCAGCTGAAGGACCTTCCACTAAAGTGAGGGATTATCTGCTCCAGTGCCGCAGCATCTTCTCCTTCCCCCACCCTGGTGTTCCCTCTGCTGTTTGTTACTTTTCCTCTCCTCCTCTCTGTTTTTTGCCCTTCTTAAAATGCTCTCAGTGAGGCACCACAAAGGTCACCCAGTGGCCTGGAGTGGGGACATCCTGGAGGCAGCTGTGCCCCAACCTGTCCCCACAGAGGCCACCCCTGCAGCCCCCTCTGCTTGACACACCCCCCTGATCTAAGAGCAAGAAGAAAATGTAACAACATTAAGCAAGCTCAGCACCTTCCCTCTCCCCTACCTTGGTCTCTGGTGTAATTGCAGCTTCCAGGCATTTCACTTTTGAGCAGTCAACAAAAACTACATTCAAACCCATTTTCATGGCGACGTTCCTGAAGTATCTGTTTGTGCCTGAGAAAACAAAACACCCAACCACACAAACTAGCAGAGAGACACAAAACAACTCCATGAACTTCCCTGCGTGGATCTCCAGCCTCCTGTAGCCATCCATGGCAAAGCAGGAGGGTGCAAATTTATGCTGTGCACCAGAAATGACACGTTAGTAAGGGTTTTACTCCTAAAAAGATGAAAGATTGATGGAGTTTTAAACAGTGTGGAAAAGTAATCATGGAAATGTGGAATCTGAGTGATTTATGAAATGCTTTCAATTAACAGCTCTGGAGTTTTTTGATCAGAAAATTAAACAGACTGATTTTAAAATTAAATAGACTAGTTTTTAAACATTAAAACTAAACACTAACCTAAACACTAAGTTTTAGTAAGAATTAAAGACTAGTTAAGTGTTTAGCTAGTTAAGATTCTAGTTTGCCTGCTTCTAACTCTTCCTCCAGCCCCTTGTCATGCACAAGGCAGCAGCTCCATTTTTTATACCCTCTTTCCCCTGCCCCACTTTTTTGTAACTTCTTTCCATCACATATTTTCATCTTTTACACTTAAATAAGATTGAGAATCTGGGAGCAGAAGAAACAGGAAGAATCACCAGTGCTGTGCTCATCATTCCACTAAACAAACATAGCAAGGACCACACAGAAATGGTGACTTCCTTCCCTTCTGTCTTTGAAGCCTTTCCCTGGAAAGATTAAAAGAAGAAACCAGAAGCAACCAGCTGATCACAAGATGTGCAACCCGCTGACTATATGGCAGCACTTCCTGGATTAAAAATTAATTCATTAAGTCTCCCTGCCAAGGTTGCTCAGCTCCAAGTCCCCAAGAGCAGCAGCTCGCAGCCAGCCACAGCACATGTGGGGCCTGAGGCCTCCTGAGCAGAGCATCACAAGGATTTCACCAGTTTTTTAAGGAAACAGTTTTATTTCTACCATGTGTTAGATTCTTTCCTGTGCTGTAAGTTGGGAAGTTTCACATAGGCTGTCCCTACAAATATAAAGCACAGAGAAGTTGCTTAGTCTCATGTACTTATTGACAGCATGCTACAAAAAGAGGTCATGCTGAAAGTGGCCTTTTTAAGAACTTACAGCAATGGCTAATTCAGAGATGTCAACTACCTACAGCTTCTCCTCACACCTCCCAAAGAACTCCCAAAACTCTGTGTCTCTTAAACACAGTCCAGGGAATAAATTTTCCAGAGCTGCCCAAGAGTTTTTCCTTTTATTCTACTGTCACCAGATTGTTTGGGTTGCACTTAACCTATAAAATCACTGAGTCCAACTGTTCCCCCAGCACTGCCAGGTCCCCACTAACCCAAATCCCTCAGCACCACATCCCCATGGCTTCTAAACCCTGCTCTTCACAAAAACCACACCAAAAGCTTACCAAAGAGCAGGGACACGTGCCAGCAGCCACTGACTCACCGACTGCTGTTACAGGGTTGAAGCATGAAAGGCTGCACAGTGCAAGCACAGTGTAAAAACCACCCATGGCAAAAAGGAGCCAGGATGGGCAGCAGAGAGGAAGCAGCTGATGGAGGACCAGGCTGTGGTGGGCAAGAAGAGGAGCAGGAACAGCCAGATGAGCAGAGCCCAGGAGAAAAGCAAGCAGGAACTCCGGGGACAAGGAGCACCTAATATCCTAGGGAAGGGGCTGAAGGAAAGAGAAGGTGAGACTGGCCCTCAGGAACAATTTGTTCCCTGTCAGAGATGTCCAGGGCTGTGCCAGGCTGCCCAGGGCAGTGGTGGCATCCCCATCACATTGATATGCACAAGCATCAAGAACTGACTGGCAAACACCATGGCTCTGGGTGATGGGAAAGCTGACTGCTCCTTCTGAAGTGTTTTCCAGCTCTTCCTTGGGAAACCACCACCTGTTGCCAGCCTCTCCAACCTCCCTCTGAAAACAAACCAAGCAAACAGAGGGAGACAACAAGCTTTGCTATGGGTGAAACGTGGGCACAGGGCACTGAGGGCACCAGTTGTCACAGGGCATCCTGGCAGACCAGGGACTCTTGGCTGGCATCCACCTTTTGAAGGGCTTTGGCAGAGGTGGATGCACTCTGGCTGTTACTGGGGAGTTTCCTGGAAGAATGGATCAAAACAAAAAAAACCTATGCAAGACTAAAAGCTAGGAGTGGGCTGCAGGACCAGTGAAACTCTCAGAAGACATGGGCACAGCAGATCCAAGCTGTGCTCTCAGGGGAGACATGAGCTGGTTGTCTGAGACAGCCCAGCCAAAATGCTGGTTGTTAACAGGTCAAACCTGGGAAGGGAACAGCAGAAATACCAGAAGCTGGAAGGCCCAGCTACACTGAGCTGCAAGGGGTCCTGCTCTGCAGGGCAATCTGCACAGGGCCAGGATGTTGCTATTTTCCCCTCTTTCAAGCATATTTCACTCATTTGCTCTGTCTTTAAAACCTCCCTTTTCAGTGTTTGGGTTCCTATCACCAGACAGGAGTGCTCTGTGCTCTCATGGAAAGGTTTTAAGGAAGTGAGGTCCTATGTGGGGAACTCAGGAAGTGCAGGAGAATCACAAGTAGCCCCATTTAACCATTTGCCCCAGGCAGCTCAAACCCACGTTTGTGCTTTACATACCTCCATAGACATCATCCATGCAGATAATGGTGTCCCCTGCCTTTAACAGGTGAGTGATATTCAAAGTAGCAGCTAAGCCAGAAGCATAAGCTAAACCTAAAAGAGAAAAAAGTGAGGACAGGCTGTCTTTTAATGCAATACAACCTCGTCCTACTTGCCTGTGCTTCCCTTGCTTTGCTTCTCAAAGGAACCCTTGTGCTTGTCACACAGGTCCTCTGGAAGCAGACGCCTGGATCTGGCCACGTGGAACCCGGGCCACGTGCCTGGCACCAGTTGCTGCCCAGCTCCTGCTCCCCTCTGCCTCTGGAGGGTGGGCTCAGGGCTTGGGTCAGCCCCGGCCTCCCAGTCTGCAAGCAGGAGTGCTGCAGAGAGCCCAGACAGGGAGCTGAGCTCCCCTGAGCAGTGTGTGACCCCTCCAGCTCCTGCCCGGGGCTGGGACAGCCTGGCTGCCCTGCCACTCCTGCTGACAACTCCTCAAGCTGCCCTGCCACTCCTGCTGACAACTCCTCAAGCTGCCCTGCCACTCCTGCTGACAACTCCTCAAGCTGTCCTTGCTCCTCAGGTTACACCCAGTGCAGACAGCCAGGGGACACAGACGCTGCTGACATCTTGCTTGAGGAACCTGTTAATTGCTTACAGTATTTAGCTCCATCTAGTGCTGCCACAGCCTTCTCCAGGCAATTCCGGGTAGGGTTCCCACTCCGGCTGTAGTCATAGCCCTGTTGGGAAAGCAAGAGAAGAAACCTGATGTCAGAGAGAGCACAGAGAAAGTTCTGCAGAGTGACAGTCCTGGATTCCTTCAAAAGCCCTCGCTCTGCACACCGAGGTCAGGCATCCACCTCCTCCATGAACAGCAGGCTGGTTTGCTGCCTACGTCAGGCTGCTGTGCACAACATCCAGCTGGGCATCCCCAACCTAAAAAATGGTTTCCAGGGGGAAGTACCAGTGTTAGTCAGGTTCTCCTACTCCTTCCTAGGTATGCACCAGTGCTGGGGAAAAGGCCTCGGGCCGACACAGTTCAACACCTCCTCACATCATCAGGGAGAACGTGTCCCACCTCCACGATGCTCTGCTTGAAAGATGCTGTAGGGTGCTGGCCAGTGACGACCTGTACCCATCAAAAGCTCCTGAATGCTCAAACCTTTCCCTGGCATGCAACCAAACCGAGTTTCGTGTTTCGCTGCAACAGCTTTTAGGTGAATAGGGAGAAAATTTAAGGAGGCAAAAACCCACTCATGCATGCAGGGATGCACTGGTCGCAGAGACAACCTGGCTAAGCACGCTGGTGTGGGTGCACGTTGGGGCTTTCTGTTTAATCCCGTGCAGGAATCCGGCAGACTGCTCTCACAGAATGTGGCCACTCTATCCCCAGGGCGTGTCTCCTCCTTCTGTGGTCTTCTTCAACATTGCTACCTACTCACAAGCATTCACAATTTTAGTCGGGGAAAGCGGTTTTCTGCGGAATCAAAGATCACGAGGCAAAGTCCAGTTGCCCAACCAGCTCGGCGGGAGGCTCCGGCCTCTGTTTTGGAACAAATACTCCTTTATCGGTGGCAAACCTGGGCCCTCGTGAGTCTACGGTTGGCGGGGGAAACCTCACGGCAGCTCTACGCAAACACTTCCAGCGTTTTCTACGGTACATCTACCAAATACTCGCGGAACACCGAGGCGCTCAGGGGGGCACAGCGAGGCCGGCGGAGCC